CAGTAATAGTGGGATATAAACAAAAGTCATTAAAATTAAACCCAATAGTAATACAGTACCATCTCCAACCACACTCCATACCAGTAGGTGGCGGTAACGCACACCTTCAGTTTCTTGCCAAGAAGAAGAAGCAGCTAAGAAGACAACTTCCTGTTTCAAAGTCCAGCTGAGCGCTGATGTTGCACAGTTGCAGAAAGAAGCGCTCTTTTCTCTTTCTTTAGCTTTGTTCTGGATGTGTGATCAAACATGCAGCAGGGTGTGGAGTCTCTGGTCCGACTGCTGGAGTCCTACAGAGGAAGAGATAAAGTTGTGAGTCTGCACCACATCATCAGGACATTTTACACCAGTTAGTATCAGCTACAACAAACGTGCTTTAAAACGTGTTCCTAAATGTTGTTTATTATACAAAAACAAGGTCRCAGTGAGGGAAAAGGTCCACCCTGTGGACAGCAGCGTGCAGAGCCTTTCTTGTCATTTTCTGTATGTTTTTATCAGTGTCTCACATGGTTGTGGAGAAAGCTTTTGGCCCACTCATCTTTACAGTTTTGCTTCAGTTCAATGATGGTTTGCAGATTTCTGCACAGCCCCCTTAAGGTTTGAGGTCTGGACTTTGGATCATTGCATCATCTCTTTCTGAGCTGTTCTGCTGCTGCTCTGTGATCTTTGTCCTGTAGCATCTTGACCGGATCCTGGCCCAGTTTGGACCAAGCTTCAGTTGTTGGATACACTCACGTCTGAGTACTTGGAGCTGCCCAAGTCCCTGACATAAGCTCACACCCTTAATGGGGAAAAAAAAAAAAAACAAAAACATAAACTTACAAATTATGCTTTATTCTTTTGGCCACACATTGTGTCACAGTAATAGCGTATTATTGCAAAGTATTATCAATGTATACGTTTGTATAAATGTAAGCATATTGTATGAGATTAAGATACTTGTATCCCACCTGATTCAGTGCCCCACTGTATAGATGAAGTCCTCCAGAGTTCATCTCAGTCCTGGCACAGGTTTTTGAGACTCCACCTGACTGCACTGCTTGTTTGAAGTTGTCTGAACTTTATCAGGTAGGTGAGGTTCCAGATGAACTTTGTTAGGAACTGGCTGCTCAATCTTAAATATTGGTAATAATATCAGTGTTTTTAAAATCTAAATCATTGAGTTTTTGTCCGTACACCGAGCTGCCCAAATTATCATCCCTTTGCCACCGTGCTTCACAGGTGGTATAAAGATCTRGCTGCTATTTATTTCCTAAATCACCTCCTGTGAGCACAGGGAGGTAAATGTGGTTCTACCATTGTSGGGGCGGGGGTTATTCCCGCTGCCTACATTTACTTTTGTAAAACAATTCAGGATATTTTGGGGTTAAGATACATTGTAATGCTTTTACTGTGATTTTTCTTTGTATTTACTCTGCACTTTTTCTGTTAAGAAAAGGCTTACTTTCCCCCCAATTTTTCCAACAGTAGCAAATATTTTACATTACATATTTTTTATAATTAGATGTATAATTAATTATA